CACAAAAATCATACATCCACTCTTTCGTTCAGAATATTTTTTTTCTTGTTTTCCTCCTCTAAAAACTAGGTGCATCTTATAGTCGGGTGCATCTTATGGAGTGAAAAATACTGTATTCCTATAAGCTCCCTATGTAGAAGTCGTATGGAAAAGGAAAGGAAAAGAGCAGGTTCAAGATTGTATTCCTGCATTGCTTCCAATTATCTCACTCAGCTTGGGCAAGAGAACATACCAGTGGATTCTTTTCTGAAAATGATTTATTATGGGTCTTGCCATCATGGCTTCGGCCTCCTTTACCCTTTTACAAATCGACTACGCCCACTTTTTTCTGGATGAAACCAAAAACACAATTTTATGTCCTTCATGCGGATCTGCTTTGTTCTTCTGGATTCAGTTTACTGGAAAACCATTTGAGGGTTTTTCTTCTCAGACATTGGCTCTCACTCTAGAAACACCGGCTGTAAAATGAAGAAAAGAATTCTTCCGAAGCTGAACTGCATGGGTGATTGTTGGGCTGGGGAGACAAGAAAGGACTGAGATCTATGTAGTAGATTATTCATATGCTTCTTGGGTGGTCATGTGCAAGTCATTTTCTCTTCATGTCTCAATGCTAGAAATAGGGTTGGGGGATAATATACTGGCCTCCTTTCCTGCTCAAGATGCTGAGAAAGTTAATGGAACAATGATGTAAGTCACTTAATTATGTAAAGAGGCGCCGTGTAAAATTTAAGTGTTCTCCCCACACTTCTCTACTTGAATATGTTCTCTGAAAGTTGGAGAGCGGTTGTTTGGAGGATATTTTACATACATTTTCCACCTTCTTTATTCTACTTCTCTTTGCAATTTCCCCCCACTGCATTCATGAATCCATTCACTTCAATGTCTTGTTAATTTTGCCTAGTTTCTTTTCGCAAAAGCTCAGTTAATTGGGCCTGCTAGGCCTCCCCATTAGGCCTGTGAGGCCTTTGGGGCCAAGCCACATCCACCTGTCCTACACCTGACATCAGGCCAAAGGGGGTTTCCAGGCACCACTGATCAGCTGATAAGCAGCAGCTGCAAAGCCCTTTGCAACAGTGAACAGGAATGATAAGAGCTTGCAAAACCCTACACATGGAGCTATGCAAATTTCAATTATCAGCTGATTGTCAGGGCTTTTGCATAGCTCCATCTTCTCTGCAAGCCCTGATGATCATCTGATGATCATCTTCATGCCCTGCAAGCCCTAATGATCATCTTCATCGGCAAAAAATAGTCACCTGATATCATTGTGATGTCAGGCGAAGGACAAATGGGTGGCCTCATCCAGCTTTTACATTTGGCCCACAGGGGACGGAGGACATCTTACTGGCTGGATCCAGGTCACCACGCCGGGTCTAGATGGAGTCATGCTCCATCTCAACATATATGCAACCATACAAATTGTAACAAGTTACTGCAGTTTGGGAGGTTACACTTGACAGCATCATACCCGCCAACGTTTCTCTGATGGGATGTCCTATTCCATACATTTATTATTTATACCCCACCCATCTGACTGGATTGCCCCAGCTACTCTGGGTGGCTTCCAACATACATTAAAACATAATACAGGGTTGCCTTCGGATGTCTTCTAAAGGTTGTATAGTTAGTTATCTCCATGGCTTAGGGGTCACATAACTGCATACTCTCCAACATTTCTCTGATGAAAACACAGACCTCCTACTATATCCTCCAATATTTCTACAGTGAAAATATGGACATCCTAAGGAAAAATGGAACATTGCGGGATTAAATCAGAAATCAAGATGGCTTCTGTAAATCTGGGACTATCCCTGGAAGGTAGGGACACTTGGAGGGCCTGCAGCAAATATTTAAACAGAACTTATTGCATTGTCACAAGGCTTTCAAATGTCTGCACCATGAATGCTCCCAAACAAAAGGAATTAAAGCAAACTGGGGGACTCTTTTAAGTTCATAGGTATTGTAATGAGGCCTGATCTCCCACCATACCTCCTCCAAAACTTTAGAATGCAAGTTGGCACTTTTCAAAGTGACAGCAGATGCTTAAAGCAAAACTGAATCTAGTGATCCACCACCATTTGAGAGGGAAAGCCTGTCACTCTGCTTGGTTGCACAGACTCTGCAGGAACAGGATGACAGAGCTGCTCCCAGAGTACGGGACTGCAGCCATGGGAACAAACCTGTGTACAAACCTTTTTTCGTTTCCCAGTGTAGATGTGCTCCAAGGATTCACATTTGATCTGTATTGGCTCCCTGGAGTATGTATTTCTGTCTGGAAGTAAAGTTTGCCCATGTAGGGCATGACTTCCCTGCAAACTGAAACACATCACTTTGTGGCTCTATCCTCTGAGGAAAACTAGGAAATGTCATTCTGAGACAGGGTTATGGACCTCTGTGAGAGAATTCTGAGGACCCTTGTGAAACCTCCTTCTCCCTGTCTTCCTTGGAGGTTGTGATGAGAAACACGCCGTCACTTTAAATAGGACTACATTTGTGGTACACATAGGCCCTCTCATTTATCACAAGAAAACAGACGTTTCTTCTCAAGTTTTAGAAAGGCCCAAGGGAAATCTAGACCACAAGGGGAATTATGCATTTCAGACCCTTCTCAGAGAGAGAGAGAGAGAGAGAGAGAGAGAGGGATTGGAAAAGTTCTGTGACTTTTAAATTCCTTGATACATTGATGTCAAACCTTTTCTTCAAGGGTGACAAAAATAGGCCTTTAGCTGATGTGAAGATTTAGGCTGATTTTTCCTCACTGCTAGTTTATTCATTATAACATTATACTGTATTGCAGCTTTAGTGTGAAATGTATATTTGATTTCTTAATCATTTCAAAGGTTGGTTATTTTCTTGCCTTTATATTAAGGTTTGTGTGTTCTGCAAGCCACTTTGTGAGCCCTGTGCAAGACAAAATATAGAATACAAACAAAAATAGATTTGATCCGAAGTATTGGCATCACTTGCTACCTCGAGTCCACATGGAGTTCTCCATCTTGGAATTGCTTGTGCCGCTAGTACAGGGATGGGGAACCAGTGGCCTTTCAGATGCTGTGGAATTACAAGCAGCACCTGATATAATACTACTACTACTACTAATAATAATAATAATATTTGTATCCCGCCCATCTGGCTGGGTTTCCCCAGTCACTCTGGGCGGCTTCCAACAAAGATTAAAAATACATTAAAATGTCACACATTAAAAACTTCCCTGAACAAGGCTGCCTTCAGATGTTTTCTAAAAGTCTGGTAGTTGTTTTTCTCTTTGACATCTGATGGGAGGGCGTTCCACAGGGCGGGTGCCACTACCAAGAAGGCCCTCTGCCTGGTTCCCTGTAGCTTTGCTTCTCGCAGTGAGGGAACCGCCAGAAGGCCCTAAGCGCTGGACCTCAGCATCTGGGCAGAACGATGGGGGTGTTGCAAGTGGTTTCCCCACACAGGACACCTAGGCCAGGGGGCGCAAAATTGAGAAGACCCATAACTGAGAAGATCCATTTGGAGTGCCATATTTTGCCCATGCATAGGGTGCTATGTAATGAAAGATTACCAAAGTCTGCCCCGGCTACAAGCCCTACAATACCTGATCACTAGCCCTGCTGGCTGGCGTTGAAGGGAGTTTCAAGTCCAAAATCAGGAAAGCCCCCATTCTGGTATGATTCTGGGTACATGAACTGTGGAGCCATGGCAGAGGAAAACAGAAGTGCAGGCCTAGCTTTATGCCACAGTTAGGTTCAAGCGTGCCAACCCCCCACTTCTGCCAATGGGGTGCATGTTATATATATATATCGTATTTTTCGCTCTATAGGACGGACTTTTGCCCCTCCAAAAATTAAGGGGAAATGTGTGTGCGTCCTATAGAGTGAATGCAGGCTGCGCGGCTAAGCCCAAAGACAGAACATGGAGATGGAACGCTGCGGAACGCTCCATCTCACTCTTCTAGCTTGGGGGTAGCTGCGCAAAGCCTCTGCAGGGCAGCGGGGTGCCTTCACCCTGCTGCCCTGCAGAAGCTAGAAAGGCTGTCCCCGAAGCCAGAACAGCGAGACAGAGCACTCCGTCTTGCTATTCTAGCTTGGGGATGGCCGCGCAAAGCCTCTGCAGGGCAGCAGGGTGCCTTCACCCCGCTGCCCTCCGGAGGTTACAAAGGCTGTCCTTGAAGCCTCAAGCCTTTGGAGTGCAGCGGGAACTCGCGCTGCGCTCCAAAGGCTTTGGGTCAGCGAAAGGAACCCGAAGCCTTTGGAGCGCAGCACGAGGTCCCGCTGCGCTCCAAAGGCTTCAGGGATCTTTGAGGCTGGCAGTGGGGGATAGCAGCGCTTCCCCCCACCGCCAGCCGCACAAGCTCGGGGGGCAGCGGGAAGGCAGTGTGCCGCCTTTGCGCTGCCCCCGACCTCTTTGAGGCTTTTCCCCACTGACTGGCAGTGTCAGTCCCTTCTCCCTCCTGGTCGAAAAGCCCGCAGGAGCCGTGCGCTCCTTAAGGGGTGTGTGGCTTCTGCTGGCTTTTCTACGAGGTGGAGGAATTCCCCCACCTCATAGAAAAGCCCGCAGGAGCCGCACACCCTTTAAAGAGCATGCCGCTCTTGGGGGGGGGGGGAATCATATTTTTTTTCCTTGATTTCCCCCTCTGAAAACTAGGTGCGCCCTATGGTCAGGTGCACCCTATGGAGCGAAAAATACGGTATATATTTAAAAGTTCATAATCTTTTTATTCTGAACATTGCTTTCAGACAGTCCCTTCTCAAAGACTAAAAAGCACAATGACTTGTACCAAGACACAGGAGGACATATGTCCAAGGACACCAATAACAGGAAACCTCATGTAAACTGAAACATCAGATTGAGAGTAATTAAGAAATAATCAAACTATGTAAATACAAAATTAACCAGGGGGCGGGGGGGAGAAAAAGATATAAGCATATGGTCTTAGTGCAGATGGGCATTTCCTTCTGGTTCGCCAGGATTTAACACCACAAGCATCGCAAAAAGGACAACCTCCCTCCCCACCTTTAGCGCCTCCTTCTGTCAGGACTCCTGCTCCTCCTTCTACAGCCACCCCGTCACTTCCCTTTTGGAGGTCACCTGAGAAAACACCAATCCACACTGATTGGCTGCCCCATAAGGTCTTGTCCATTCAGTCCCTCCATGGCTTCCTGGGCTTCTTTGTACGTTTCATATTCTACCAGGGTGTAGCCCTTCAGGTAACCTGTCCGCCAGTCAAGATTCAGGTGGAGGTTCTTGATTTCCCTGAACTCTGCAAACTTGTCATGAATGTCCTCTTCGGTGGCCTCCTCATGGACACCCGTGACAAAGAGAATCCAGCCTTCCACCAATCTCTGGGGGCCCGGCTCATCCCCACCTTGCTCCATGCTGTCGTAATCCTCACGGACTCTCTGGAACCCTTCTCTGACCCAAACCTTTCCTCTTCTTTTCTTGTTCCTTCAGTTTGTGGATGTTTTCGTCACCATCCTCGTCCATGGCGAAGTCCTCACCGCCCGCCTCATGGAGGTGCAATACGTCCGCCATCTTGGCCACTCCATGGGGTACATGTTATGACCACTTAACATGATACTATGAGACATCACTAATAAATGAGGAGTATATCGACGAAAACTGAGGGCACAGCTAAATTCAGCAGAGTTATTTGCAGCCGAGATTGATCACTTTGTGCATTCAGCATCGTGCATATCATTTCTGGCATGTTCTGTAGAACAGCCAGATCTCCAAAAATCTGATTTGTAAGAAAGGGGATAATTGAGAACAAACAGCTGCACTGAGCATTTGTGAGGTTATTTGTTCCCGGAGTGGGGTAGAGATTAACAATTTTAATTAACACCAAATCAATCTATAAAGATGTCTTAAGAAGAGGGTTGTTGGAACAGGGTCGTTTTCATAGTTGAGCGTGTTGGCAAAGAGTCTGTAACAGCCCAGAAGTTACTCTGCCAAAACATTCACAAAGAGACTGTGACACAAAGGAATCAGACGCACTTATAACAGAAAAATACATGTGTCAGTAGGCTTTTCCCTGGAAATTGTGGGTTATAATCTCATATGTGATAGCCAGCCAGAGGGATAATGAAGGGACCCTATTTTTAGCCGGGGCTGTGCTCTCTGGCCTACTTAGGATGATGATTGATCTAGCCCTAATAGCTCACTAGGGCAGCCTCCATCTGAATGGTGAAACACGGCAACATTTTTGAGAACTTTTCTCTCTGCTTTCTCTTGAGAGCATTAGAGAAACTTCTTAACAGGTTTTTATGAAACAGGGAACTACATTGTCTGGGAACAGGATGCAAATCTGTAGCAGCAATTTGACGAATTAATGAATGAATTAAAAAGGCAAGCAATTGTGACAGGGCAGCGTATTTCACAACCCCAATCTGCCTGCCTTTCAAGCCTCTCACATTCCCTATGTAATGGCCAGATATGGGAACCATTAAGTGGGGGAATTACAGGGTGTTCAGAGCCCGCCAGCCTCCCGGGCACAGAGTACTCTCACTTTCCGCTTCAGTGTAGCTTTCCAACTGCCCAGTGGCTTTATACAGAATCAATAGGACAGGAAGGAAATCTAGATTCTTGGCACCATTAAAGGGGACACATATTGCTAGGCTACAGAGTGACTGTCAAACTGTGCAGATATTTAACTCTTAATGCATGTCTGCTTTCTTAAAATAGCTCCAGAGGATGCTGTTATCTTGCTTCCGTAGCTTTGGAATGAACTCCCCACATCTTCACCCTTTTCCTTTCTTTACCGCTTTCTCTGCAAAGAGTAGGGCTGCTTCCAGATGCGGGTGGTTTAGCAGCACCATTCAATGCTGTTCTGCTTTAATCTAGAAGAAGAATCCCAGCCTCTGCTTTTAGAATCTGTTCTGTAGCCAGGTGGGCTTTTCTTCATTCCCAAGCCTCAAATGTTGAAATACAGTGGTACCTCGGGTTACATACGCTTCAGGTTACATACGCTTCAGGTTACAGACTCCGCTAACCCAGAAATAATACCTCGGGTTAAGAACTTTGCTTCAGGATGAGAACAGAAATCGTGCTACAGCGGCGCGGCAACAGCGGGAGGCCCCATTAGCTAAAGTGGTGCTTCAGGTTAAGAACAGTTTCAGGTTAAGAACGGACCTCCAGAACGAATTAAGTACTTAACCCGAGGTACCACTGTAATGCCATTTTAATTATATGAGGTGGGGACCATGATGTAAGGGAATGCACTCCTAATCATGATACTCCCCCCCTGGGGGGGGGTGGAGAAACAGGTATAAAGGCAATGGCAGTTAGAAAGGGAAGAGTTAATGTTATGTGCTGAATCCTAGAACAATAGGATCCAGAATGCAGCAGTCTAATTGGTCTGCAGGAGCCACCTAATCCAGCTCCTGGATGAAGTGAATCAGCAATCTGATTGGCCTGCAGGAGCAGCCAATCAGGCTTCTGGAGGAGGTGAATCAGCAATCTGATTGGCCTACAGGAGCAGCCCAGAATTAGCCAATCACACAGGGTCCATTGTGTAAATAATGTATATATAGCTAGACATTTTGAGGAAAGTTTCATTCATTGCTACTATGAGTTGAATAAAGAGCATGAAATTCACACTCAATTCTGAGTATATTTCAGTTAAAGTGAAGAGCCAATTTCCACAGAGGAAGGAAATGCAGGTTATAACTAGTCAAAGCCTCATAAAACAGCTGGGGGGGGATTGTGCAGTAGTTCACTTCTGTCAAATTGTCCATAAAGTCAAATTTTCTGTGTGGAGGGAATAAAACATGGGAGGAGGGTGTTTTGACCAGCATTGTATTTAAGTAATTTTGGAATCTGGACTTAGTGGTCTTACGGGGAGCCTCCTCTTGAGCTGGTAATGTCTGCTGCCTCACTTCAAGATGTGGTCATTTATTTCTCCTGTGTTTGAGGGACTATCTTCTCCTTCTGCTGAGTGGGATCCTGGGCTCCTGCCTCAAAGTCCTGCCCCAACACTGCCACTGGTTTTGATTATGATGCCGTGCAGATGCCCTGTTTAAAAGTGAGTGAATGAAGCACGGCTATTCCACAATAAATGCCCATTGTGGAGGCAGCCTACTAACCACATGAATCTTTGGCAGCCATTTTTATACCAGTTTCTGGCCTGTAGCAATGAGGAAATAACCCAGTGTCCTTAGGAATGACATCCTGCAAATAGGCGAGGCTTCGTATGGCAACTCACAGACTGAGCAATCCATATTAGAGAATCCCCCAAATATCAATTAAGAGTTTAGAATAGACCTTTTTTAATTGTTGTGCACTAATTGGGCAAGTGCCTTTTGCAGGCGCTAGACAGATGTGTGTTTCCTACAGGCGGTGGGGGGGGGAGGAATCTCCAAAAGAAAGGGAATAATCTCTAGTGAAACCTTATAAATATTTAACTTCTCACCTAAAAAGAGATGTTTGCAGAGAAAAGAAGGTGAGCAAATTACTGTCGCACTCTCACGGAATATAGTAATAGATGATGGCACCCTTGAAAAAGATGTGTGATACTCTCCCAGTCCGTGTTAATTGAGAACAATTACTCTTGTGAGGGCTCTGTTTAAGTTCATGCCACAATATGCTGTAAAAAAGCACAATGTGAATTGGGTTAGCCTTTTATGCAAATCCTTACTGCACTTGGCATGGCTTAGTTATTATTGATGGCCACTAGTAGAGCATTGCTGCTTTTTAAAGCACCTTGCATGTGAGACAGTTGTACTGCAGAAGACATTACTTTTGCATTCCAGTTTTCACATTTCCCTTCTTCCATGCTCATGTCTACCGCACTCCCTGCATTGGAAGTTTCTGTTCCACACTTGGAGGCTGATGGATCCAATTGGTTTATGACTGGCACTCCTGTCGAAGCCCTGGCCAACTTGCGTGTCGAGGTCCCCAGGCCCACCCCAATAACTCACACATCACACAGAATTTTTTGTTTAAGGTTTTTGGCATAATTTTGGCCATAACTTTATTAAAATACAAAAATGTGGGTGGTTGCTTAGGCATTGGTTGCGACTATCTGCCCCCACTATGGGGGACAGACTGACATTCCACACGATGTGAAAGTCAGAAAAGGGGAATACACTTGGGGGTAGCGACGGAGCAGGGAACCTGCCCTCAGCCCTCCCCAAATGCAGCCAGGAGCTCTTGCAGTGGCTCGAGCCCCCTTGACAGGGTGGACAAGCAATAGTTAGCCCCCAATTCCTTTAACGGAATCCCTTGCAGCAGCAGCACTAGAGGGGCAGGCACAGCCAATCCATGCCCCTCAACCAACCAAACCATAAACCAATGCCTAACTGCAACCTTACAAGTTGTGACGATTTGCTACGCAGTAGGCAAAAACCAAATGGCCCCAGCCAATCAGCCAGATGGACAAAATTCCTACCGGGCCCCTGCCCCAAGAGCAGACGACCCCATGACAGGCATAGCAAGGTCAAAGCGAACAACCCTAATTCTAGGGAGGGGGGGACGGGCAATCTGATGCACGGGCGAAAAGAGGAAGCCCTAGCCTCGTGCAAGGAGTTTTAGCATTTCTGGCTGTCAATCAACAAATGGCAACATTAACTTCTTCCCAACAACAAGGGAAGCCCCAATCGCATCAGTGGCCAACGATCAATTAGCCCGCCCCCAACTTTGGAGTGTCCTGACGGCCCCCACCGCAACACGTGCTCTCCATGAAGGAGAACATGCTCTGTGGAACATCTGGATGGCTCAGGCCTTTGACACAACCGCCACTTTGTGGAGCCCACTTCTGTCCCTGGTAGGGTGATAGCTTAGGGTGAGGAAACAAGCTGGGAAACAGCTTGAACATGAGTGGAGGTAAACTCCAGTCAAACACTGGTGAGGACTAACATCACTGAGCATACTTTGCTGCCTCCATTGCATCCTCGTTGTGCCATCCGGCAGAGCTTTTCCGAACCAGGATGAATGGCAATAAACAGCAACCCTAGTCTTTAATGTGCAGCAAAGCCGGCTGTTGTTTTTGCTGCAACAGAATAACCAGGCAGTGGTTAGCCTTCTAGAAATAATTCCAGCTTGGGTTCTACCTGCAGCAAGTTTGGGGTAAGAGAAGCTGTGGTAGCAGGACAGATATGGGGGCTGATTTGTACTTAGAAAAAATAGACTAAAGGCTTAGCTACACATAATGCCAACTGTGTTTTTACTATATATATTTTTAAGACAGGTAATGTTGGGAACACAGCACAGCATAAGGGGCTGGCCAAATCTGTGAAAATTCCTGCTTAAATCAGTACATGTGTGTCAGGGGAGGAGTTTCATTGTTTTCATGGTGGGGGAGAAGTTAAACCAGGGGTCGGCAAGGCTTACTGGGCATGGGCCAGATCACTCCCATGGAGATACTCTGTGCAGTGCAGCGCAACGCCGGAAATTGCATCTGCGCATGTCTGCAGTGCCGGAAATCACTTCTGCACATGCCCAGACGCCGAAAATCGTGCCTGCACAGAAGCAATTTTTTTTTTAAATAATTTTTTATTAAGGTTTTAAACAAAGAAAAAAGAAAAACAACACACACA